CTGAGGCTTGAGTAGTAGCTGGTTTTCCCCTGACAGTGCTAAGGAAGGCTGGGAGGTTTGGACTGGGCAGAATTCACCACAGTGTGGCAAAATGGCTGTGTCCAGACTGCTTCTCTAGATTCCTCCTCACTGGGCAGGGCGTCTCTGAAGGAAAGGCAGCTGCCTCAGTCAGAGGCTTACAGACAAAGCTCTCATCTCCCTGGGATGGAGCACCTGGGGGAAGGGGCAGCTGTGGATACAGCTCAAGTGGATTTAATTTTTTCTGCCTGCCAGCTCTGAAAAGAGCAGCTGATCCTGACAAGGATGAATCACCCAGCACAGGGCTCAAGCTCTGCTAAGGGACAGACTGCCTCTTGAAGTTGGTCCCTGACCTCCGTGCCTCCTGACTGGGAGACAACTCCCAACAGGGGTCGACAGATACCTCATACAAGATAGTGCTGGCTGGCATCAGGCTGGTGCCCCTCTGGGATGAAGCTTCCAGAAGAAGAAGCAGGCAGCAATATTTGCATTTTGCAGTATTGCACTGGCGATACCCAGGTGAAGAGAATCTGGAGTGGACTTCCAGCAAACTGCAGCAGACCTGCAGAAGAGGGGGACCTGACTGTTAGAGGGAAAACTAACAATCAGAAAGCAACAAACAACACCACCAAGTAAAAGGAGGACCCTCACACAAAAACTCCATCCAAAGGTCATTGGCCTCAAAGATCAAAAGTAGATAAATCCACAAAGATGACAAAAAACCAGCACAAAAAAAATACTGAAAATTCCCAAAACCAGAATGCCTCTTCTCCAAATGATCACAGCTCCTCTCCAGCAGGGGCACAAAACTAGACAGAGAATGAGATTGATGAATTGACAGAAGTGGGTTTCAGAAGGGAGGTAATAACAGACTCTTCTGAGCTAAAGGAGCATGTTCTAACCCAATGCAAGGAAGATAAGAACCTTGATAAAAGGTTACAAAAAATTCTTACTAGAATAACTAGTTTGGAGAGTAACATAAATGACATGATGGAGCTGAAAAACACAGCATTCATGATGCATACACAGGTATCAATCATTGAATCGATCAAGTGGAAGAAGGGATATGAGAGATTGAAGATCAACTTACTGAAATAAGGCATGAAGACAGGATTAGAGAAAAAGAATGAAAAGGAATGAACAAAGCCTCCAAGAAGTACAGGACTATGTGAAAAGACTAAACCTATGATTGATTGGTATACCTGAAAGTGATGAGGAGAATGGAACCATCTTGGAAAACACATGACAGGTTGGTATCCAGGAGAACTTCCCCACCCAAATCTCATCTTGAATAGTAGTCCCTATAATCACCATGTGTTATGGGAGGGACCTGGTGGAAGGCAAGTGAATCATGGGGTGGTTCCCCCTATGCTGCTGTTCTCATGATAGTAAATTCTCATGAGATCTGATGGTTTTATAAAAGGCTTTGCCCTGCTTCACGCTGCATTTCTCCTTGCTGCTGCCATGTGAAGAAAGCTGTGTTTGCTTCCCCTTCCACTATGATTGTAAGTTTCCTGAGGCCTCCCCAGCCATGCTGAACTTTGAGTCATTAAACCTCTTTCCTTTATAAATTATCCAGTCTCAGATATGTCTTTATTAGCAGCATGTGAACAGACTAATACAGGTTGGATATCCATAATGGGATTAGTGTATTTATAAGAAAAAGAAGAGAACAGAATGCGCTCTTCTCTCTCTCTCTCTCTCTCTCTCTCTCTCTCTCTCTCTCTCTCTGTCTCTCTCTCTCTCTCTCTCTCTTTCTCTCTGTGTCTCTCCTTCTCTCTCTCCCTCTCTCTCTCCCTCTGCCATGTGAGGACACAGTGAGAAGGCATCCAACTGGCAATTAGGAAAAGAAAGCCCTCACTGGGGAGCTGAATCAGTCAGCACCTTGATATTGAACTTCTCAGTCTTCAGAACTGTGTGAAATAAATTTCTGTTGTTTAAGCCTAAGCCCCCTGGTTTATGGTATTCTGCTATGCAGCTCCACTTGACTAATATACTTACTAAACAACCATTAATCATCATTGTATTAGTCTAAATGGAGGGCCAAATGAAATATATGTTTATAAGCAGAAAACCAGTGTGAACCTTTGGTACTTCTAAGGTGAGAAACTCCAAAATGTCAAAAACCAATTAAAGTAACCATTCATTTAAAAATATGTGTGCCAGCTCTCTACAAAAGGAGAAAAATAATGCTCCTTCTTATAGAGAAAACTTTTATTGACTATATTGTGCTCTGGGCCTTTCTCCCATTTCCCACATCTCCAAATTCCCCCTTTCAGGAATACAGCAATATATTTTATTAGATGAAGCCTACCTAGTGCAATTGTTCTTACTGTATGGCTCTCAGTACAGACAGTATTTTTCCACTAGTTTCATTACAACTTTTTTTCCCATTATTGGGATATCTGAGAGCACAGGAAATAAAAAGAACTTACTACCCTTTATATTACCGTAGAAAACTCTAAAGCCTATTCTAAAAATGTAATGTATCTTTTTGGTACTGAATATTTTGAAGAAATTTAAAAGACCATGCACTTAAAAATATAGATCCTCCACTTTATTCGTGTGTGTCTGACATTGTATGTGTTCTTGTTTCTGTAGAGATATCATCAAATGAACATCAGTTTGACAAGTAAATAAACATTGTCTTCAAAGCAATAGCAGTACTTTGGTGTTAGTATTGTGCTGATATCCATGGGCTCTGGGTAATTTTAAGAACTGAAAGTCAAGGAGGAACTCAGGAGGTTCATAAATGGAAAGAACACTGAGTTGAGAAGAGGACTGAATGTTAGGTCAAACTGTCACTGGCTGTGAATCTTTGAAAAATTTATGAATATATGAAGCAGTTTCCTCTCTTATTGAAGTGTCATTCCATATGAAATGCGAAGTCAAATAAAATAAGTCAACAGATATTGAGAACTAAAAGTTTTAAATTCATACAGTTTAAGCACTTCTAGAATATAGAAAAATCGAACTCCTGCTCAGTTACTGGATAACACCTTTAGTGGGACTCCAGTCAACCTGCCACCCTACGTGCTTCACACCATGGAGTCTTTCTCTTTTCTCTCTTGAAAATATCTGGTGAGGCAATTTTAAAAATTAATAATATGTACATTGTAACTGAGACCAAAAGGGATTATCCAGAATCATACTGTGTTTGTATGTGTTAACCTTGTACTTAAACTGATGTTCTATATGCAGTAGATAATATGCAACATAAAGTGTGAAGAACAGCTATCATTTACTGGCAAAATGATAATAAATATAGCAGATGCTTTTAGTGCTCTATTGATACCCTTGTCTTTGCCACTTTAGTGCAACCAAGCCCATTTTGTAACTTTCAGCACCTGTATGTCTTTGTCTGAGAGCCTTCTCTCTTGCTAGCATAGTCCAGTTTGTCATCACTATGTTACCTGAAGTAGGCTTGGAGTGCTGGCATACTAACACCCTTCTCTGTAGGCAGTCTTCAACATATTACTCACTGGAATTGATGTATACATGCTCCAGCTCCCTTGCACATAAGGGAACACTCTCAGATTTGTAATTTACGCTGACTCTGAATTTCTCCAAAGACATTAACCTCCAGTTGCCCACCCTTCTCTTTCTCATTTCTCCTCTCCCTTAATAATATTTCTTGTACCTCCTAAACAAATTAATTTTGCATTTGAGCTCTTCTCTCAGGTGTTTTTTTTATAGAAGAGCCTAAATGTTGGCCAGACTGGAGTGCAGTGGTATAATCTCGGCTCACTGCAATCTCCGCCTCCCTGGTTCAAGCGATTCTCCTGCCTCAGCCTCCCGGGTAGTTGGGATTATAGATGTGAGTCACCATGCCTGGCTAATTTTGTATTTTCAGTTGAGAAAGGGTTTCACCATGTTGGTCAGAGTGGTCTTGAACTCCTGACCTCAGTTGATCTCCTAGCTTTGGCCTTCCAAATTTAGAGATTACAGGCATGAGCCATTGCGCCCAGCCAAAATTGTACTTTATATTTTAAGTTATGTAAGTATTGATGCTCCTGGAGTCCTCTTCCTTTGCTTTGGGGAATAGAAGAAGCCACTCTTCATTCCTACCACTGTGGAGAGGGTAGGTGTGTGGTGATGGGAATAGTCTCTTTTTAAAAACCCTGAAGCACCCAAATGGGTAGTCTTCTTTCTCTTAGTCCTCCCCTTAAAATATCTTGGGATGTGGGTAGAGTCTTGCTTGTTAGGGTAGTCTTTGAACTGACATTTGTAAGTGGTTCTTGAAAGGAGATGGATGGCATAGGTTTGGTGGTTCTCTGAGCTCAGCATGTAGGACCTTTACCTAGGCTGCTGAAAAATCCCACTCAGCCTTCCAGAACAGGTCTATCTCTGGGTTAGACCATCTCCAGCACCAAGGTGAGAGGTTCTCAGAGAAATTCACAGGGATTTGGGAAAAACTTGTAGAGATAGGGACAATGGTCTTGGGACAAGGGTGAGCTAGGACAGTTGTGGAATAGGAACATGGGTAAGAGGTAAGGCAGCAGCATCATCGCGTGCCCTAGGGAGGTGTAGAACAGTTTCTGCCTGTTAGGCAGTAGAGAATTAGGTCCTAGGAAAGTTGTGGGAGGGGGGCTTGTTGGAGCCTGTGTCTTAAATGGTATTTCCTTGGCTAAGGAGATTGGAGGGTTGAAGGAGAGCATGGAGGACTCTCATAGACAGAATGGTATATGCAAAGGCATTGAGACTTAAAATACCTTATGCGTGCACTCTTGGAAAGCACTTCCACAGTCCTTGTTGAGTGGCACTACTGTTACCATTTATGGCATTGTGTATTTTAATTTTTAATTAGCAAATTGAAAAATAGTTCTAGATACCAACAATGACTAGAATTACGACCACTTCTTTAAAACTTGAGTAATAAAAGATCCTTCTTATAAGAAAAGAAAAAAACAAAAAATGACTGAACCTGAAAGCTGCCATGTGATGGCTGTTTAAGCCACAGCTTCTCTTCTAGCTTTTCTGACCTTTCCCCAAGATTCATGGTGATGCCAGTGCTTGTCATCTTCATTATCATTCATCTGTTCTCTCTGTAGGACATCCATGTCCGGATGTCAAGGCAGGGCAGCTGATTTGCAGTGTTAAGATGACTTTTATTCTGTTCTAGATGATGAGGATTGACTTTAGACAAAATGACTCATCACCTTCTACAGCCTTCCTGCTGTCATGGAAAACCTTAAATTTCATAAGCCTTTTGATTGGCATCATAGGAAAAGGATTGTTCAGCAGTAGGCCATCTTTTTAGTTATTTTTGCTTTTGTTTTCCAGCAAGACACCAGGAATTACATTTCCCAGCTATCTGGCACACTGAGTGTTAGTTCTTAACATGTTAGGTTTTACAACTCCATGGAACCCTGTTCTTGAAGCAAGTGTTCATCTGTCAAGAATCCTAAAGGAATGGTCACACCAGGCATAACCATCATTCTGTGAGAAGATTAATGTCACCTTGCCACCTGGATTTCTAAATCAGGATTGTGTTTTAATTTTTGCTTTATGTAGGGCCATCTCTCCTCTAAGTTGGAAATAAATATCCAACAAAAGAGAGAATGATTAAATTAGAATCTGTCACTCTATGTGTAACAAAAATGATTCTGAAAATTTCTTACAGAAAACTTGTTATTCTAATTACAATGTTAGCTGAAATCCTTATTCAAAATTGTATAATTGATTAATTAGAAATCAGTAGAAAAATGGATAAAATTGAAAAGCAAATAATCTTATTATTTCAAGTTAAAAATTATGAGAGTTAAAAACAGTTGCTTACGTAGGGCAAGAAATAGGTTAGCAAAGAGACAATATCAGGCAACACATATATCTGTCAGGCACAGGACTTGTATTCAGTATATATAAATAACTATACTGTTATTTATGTTCAGTGTTAAGAAGACACTCTATATCTCTTTCACACACACATATGTGTATAAACACACACACACACACACACAGAGCCTACTATGTGCTAGATGCTGTGCTAAGTTCTAGACATAAAGATTGAATAAGATGACACAATCCTCATTTTCATAAGTGATTCTTTCATATGATTCTGCTGGAGGCAAATACCTACTATGTGCTAGATGCTGTGCTAAGTTCTAGACATAAAGATTGAATAAGATGACACAATCCTCATTTTCATAAGTGATTCTTTCATATGATTCTGCTGAAAGCAAATATAAAACAGATAATTTTACAAATAAATAGCTGTTTAATTACAAAGCTAATAGACTGTCAAGGGAAAGCACATGTGTCAGGGAGACTAATTCTAATATGAAGGTTACAGAAGGGAAGTGGAAGCCAGATCATGCAGAGACTTGTAAGCCTTTAGTGGACTTTATTTTCAAATCAATAAGAAGTCATCAAATAAAGGCAGTGAAGAGATGAGCATTTCCAACAAGAGACTACTGAAGTCATTAGATGGTAGGGTCTTGCCTTAGTGTGTTGGTCTCTGAAAAAAATGAAGGAACATGTTAGAAAGTTGAGTATGCATCAGAGGGCCTGGTCATGATATCTTGGGATTTGAAATAACAGTTTTAATAAATAAAATATCACTTGTTGCCCTACATGTGCATTGCCTTTAAATCAATGATTCTTAATTTGAAATCTTTCTAAAGGAGTTTCATGTTTTGAGTATGAACATGTGGTGGACACTATTGCATTTTGTTTGAGGGAAGCAAGGCACCCCCACTAGATATTAATATATCTCAGCCTCTCTTGCAGCTAGGACTACCCATGTGACACATTCTGGCCAGTAGAATGTAGGCAGAAGTTACTGTGTAAGAGGAATGGACTCAACTGAAGAAAGCTTTTGCCCTTTGTACTTTCCTTTTTCCCTATCTGAAATACAGATTCATGTTGGAAGTGGAGCATATGTCTTGTGTAAGATGGCTGAGCAGAAAAGTGAAAGACCACAGGTCTGCTTGTATCGTGGAACTGCTATAACCGGTCCTATATTGCTTAACTCTGGGGGAAAAAATCTCCTACTTTGCTCAAGTAACTAGTCTGGTTTTCTTTTCTTCATTGTCAAGTTATATCTTAACTGGCAGAGTATATTTTCCCTCTGTGGAAAGGGTTCTCTTTTATCACATTTTTAAAGGGATTTATGATTCTTAAATAAAGAAAAACTTATTTTCTCACATGCATTAGTTAGAACATTATATTGGAATTCACAAAACAAATTAATCAGTGCATTGAAGCTTATATTTTCTAAAGAAATTTGTATCAGTCAGAATTTATTTATCTGAGAGGAGATAAATTGAGACTTCAGCATACATTTATTTCAACAACTGAAATATCCAAGTAAAGCAGTAATAGTTCTTCATAGAAAGTGACAAGAAACACTAATGATTTACTATATTTATATTATTCTTTTTATTTTTCAAGACACTTTAAAATGAAACGTGGACCTGTGCCTTGGTGACAATATTCAAAAGTGTATTGTGCCATCTAATAGCGTTTCCCACTTAAAATGTTTTCTTCTTTAATTTGCTAGTCAATATGTTCTACTAGAAGGAAAATCAAATTATTTCATAGTGCCAAGGTTAGAAGGAGCAGTAAAAGTCATCTATTGTCTAGACTACTGACTTGCTGTAAAATTTGGCTATAACTAAGCACACTGTTGGTCAAAAGTATCAAATGTGAAGATGAGGATTCATGAAAGGTGGAGTATTGCAGCGTGTCAGGGCAGGGTGAGGGGAGTGGAAGCAACTCATCTCAAGAAAACACAGCGGTCCCAGAGAGAATGAATAAAGAGAGGAAAAAGAAAGAACACATTTTCAGGTAGCAAAGCCCTGTCTCAGCAGGCTTGGTGAAGATGAAAGTGGAGGTACAGTATAGGAAGCTTTCTGTTTCAACTTGGAAATGCCTTGTCTTTTTTGTTTGTTTGTTCATTTATTGCTGCTTAGTTTCTGGGGGTCTTTGTCTCTCATTCTTAGAATAACCAGATGACTTAAAACTCTGGGTGGAGGCCATTGTCATCTGAGAGGGCTCTTATAGTAAGAAAGCTCCAACTCTGGCCATGAAAGCACTGATTCTGGCCATGCCGTTGGGCTGATTTTCTCACAGTTGTTTCCTCATTGATCACATAGGTGCTTAAGGGTTTAACATTTCAGAACGTCACAGCTAGAAGGGACCTTAGAAATTAGCCCAAAGTTTCCTAAACTCTATTATGTATATTACAAGACATTTTGTGAAGAAAAGGTTATGTTATCAACTGCGTTAGGTACTATTAGAGCTAAACAGATATTTTAGTGCAGACATCCAACAGTTTTCAATGTGTTTAATGTGCATTATGAATTTCTGATAGGGGAATATAGTATGCCAGGCTTCTCAAAATGTCTTTATCATGGATCACACTCTTTTTAGTCTAGAAATTTACTCACATGATTGGGGCACAGGATACACATTGAGAATGCTGATATAGTGGAAGCCACTTAATATTCTGTGGTTAGTATAGTAGTCATTTTGTCTTTGTACAAAATAATGTGTAAACTTTAGCTTTATAGCTCATACATGAATTTCTTTTAGGATGCATGTAAACTCCTTGGAGTTAGAAGATAAGGCCCTCAAGAACACTGGTGTAAGCAGGAAAATAAGGAACTGTTAAATAAAAATGCTTGTTGTTCTGCATGACAAAATATGGGGAATTGCCTTTTTTTCTTTTGAGAGATAAAGAGAATCTAGGGAAAAAGGAAACAGTGAGATGATACGAGGAAGGAAACCAGATGAGGTGAAGGGCTTGAGAAATGTCCCAGAATTAGGTTCTAAAGGACTGGAGGCTGCTTGCTATTTACTGTGAAGTTGCTCCTGTTGCTATAATTTAAACCTCCTCTGTCATTCTCAAGCTTTTAGGAAAGTCATTTTTGCCCACAAATGCAGTGTTTAAAAGAATATTTTCAGTGGAAATCCATGAAAGATCTGGGTTTCATATCTGTATCAAAGCACTGATAAATGGCAAAAGCATGTGTAAAAGCAGGAGTTGGGCAGGGATAACAGCATGAAAATATAAGACTGTGGGAATTTTCAGGATTTTTCTGGGGCATTAAATAAGGGATTTGAGTAGATTTTATTAGCAACTCAGTGATCAGAAGGACCCTACCTGACATTTAGGCATATATTACCAGCGTCATCAGATCTCAGTTGACATCTAGGGATATTGCACACATACATTATCATCACCCAGGCCAAGGGTAGGATGCATTGCTGCCAGAACTAATACAACAATAAATTGGGAGAAATAACTATAATAGAGGCTAGCTAACTTGTCACAAACCATTTCTTCTTTCTCCTTGGAACCAGCTAGACTATATTTCTTAGCTTGTCTTATAGTTAGGTGTGACCATATGACTGATTTCTAAGGAATGTAAGCAGAAATGATAGGTGCCACCTCCAGACCTTGCCCGTAGAAACCTTTCTCACAAAATTCTCTATACTCTTTCTCATTTGACCAATTTGATATAGCCAAGTGCTGTGACATTAAACACACTGCATGTAAATATGGAAAAACCACAAAGAAGAAAAAGCCAGGGCCTCCAATTTATCAGTTAGAAGAACACTGTGCATCAAAATAGCCATGTGAACTGGATTTGAGTAAGTGAAATGTTATTGATTTAATGCCTGTCAGCTTCAAGTTCAGTGTTTTTTGTTTTTTGTCTTTGTTTTTGTTTTTTTTAATATTACTCTGAAAATGGGTCTGGGCTCTTTAAATATTTTCCCACTGCTTTTGTTGCAATTGCTTTTGGTGTCTTTGTCATGAAATCTTTGCCCCTGCCTATGCTTTGGATAGTGTTGCCTAGATTTTCTTCTGGGGTTTTTATAGTTTTGGGTTTTATATTTAAGTCTTTAATTCATCTTGAGTTGATTTCTGTATATTGTGTAAGGAAGGAGTCTAGTTTCAATTTTCTCCATATGACTAACCAGTTCTCCCAGCACCATTTGTTAAATAGAGAAACCTTTACACATTGCTTGTTTTTGTCAGGTTTGTCAAAGATCAGATGGTTGTAGGTGTGCAGTCTTATTTCTGACTTCTCTGTTCTGTTCCATTGGTCTATGT